AGTACGGCTGAGCCTTGAGGACATTGCACTAAGTGAAATTAGCCAGCCAAAAAAAGATAAAGAGGTATGATTCCGTTTACATGGGGTATCTGAATAGTCAAATTCATGACAGAAGATAGATTGGTGCTTGTCAGGTACTAGGGAAGGGGGGATGGGAAGTCATTTAATGGATACAGAGCTTTGATTTTGATGGATGAAAAGCTCTGGAGCTTGGTTGCACAAAATGTAAATATATTTGACATTGCTGAACCATACATTTAAAAATGATTGAGATAATAAATTTTATGTGTATTTAGAAAATGTTTTGAAATTGCTGGGATAAGATTTTATATATTTATGCACCCAGATGTTCTCTTGTGTAGTTTCTCCTTATTCTTAATCCTTCAAGCAGTATTTATTGAGTGTTGTCCCTATATATATGGGGATAGTGGGTGCTGTAGTGTCTAGGACAGTGTGCATCTCTCAGGAAGCTCACATTGCAAGCATATTTTTGACTTAGAAAACCCTTACAAGTCAAAACACCTTCGATAGCGTGCTACTTATCAGGTTTGCACTGTAGCTCAAATAAAATGTTTGGAATTTTAAAAAGTAAACATCAAATAAAGGAAATTTTAAAGAGTATTTGAAAAAATAATAGAAGGATGTTTTGACACTCAAAGTGGTATCAGCCTTTTTAAAGTCTGACACAAACTCAGAAGCTATAAAAGAGTGACAGACTTCTGACTAAGATAGAGGCATAGATAAATATACTTTGCCTTCTTGCAAAGCCAAAAGGACAACAGAAAAATTAAAGAAATAATAACCAGTATTTCCAGAAAATGAAATGGCATGCTAGTCTGACAGCCAAGGAGTTAAGGAAGAAACATTCACCCAGACTGGTAAGAGGTGCAGAGATAGACAGCAGGGGTCAAGGAAGACTCCTGGCAAGGCAATGGCTAGAGGACCAGGCAGTCCCACATTCACATGTGGGTAAACCAGAAGGGAAAACTGGGAAGTGAGATAGACCACACAACCCAGGGTTCCAGCATGGGGAAATAAAGCCTCAAAACCTCTGAATGAAAAATCTGTGGGGGTTGAGGCAGAAGGAGAAACTCCCAGCCTCACAGTAGAGTTTCTTGGAGAGATCCACAGGGTCCATAAACAAACCCACCCACCCCAGGAATCAGCACCAGAAGGGCCCAATTTGCTTATGGGTAGTGGAGGAAGTAACTGAAAGGTGGCAGAGAGCTGAGCAAGTGGCATTGTTCCCTCCTGGACCCCTCCCCCACAATAGTGTCACCCAGAGACCTGGGTTGCCCCACCCTGGTGAATATCTAAGGCTTCACCCCTTACTAAGTAACAGTCATGCCCAAAGGAAAAAACATGGCCCAAATGAAAGAACAGATCAAAGCTCCAGAAAAAATATAACTAAGGGATGAGAAGATAGTCAACCTACCAGATGCAGAGTTCAAAACACTGGTAATCAGGATGCTCGCAGAAATGATTGAGTATGTCCACAAAATAGAGGAAAAAGTGAAGTTCTATGAAAAGTGAAATAAAGGAAAATGTACATGGAACCAACAGTGAAGGGAAGGAAACTGGGACTCAAATCAGCAGTTTGGACCAGAAAAAAGAAATAAACATTCAACCAGAACAGAATGAAGGAACAAGAATTCAAAAAAAAAATGACCAGAGGCTTAGGAACCTCTAGGAAAACTTTAAATGTTCCAACATCCAAATCATGGAGGTTCCAGAAGGAGAAGAAAAAAACAAGAACGTTGAAAAGTTATTTGAAAACATAATGAAGGAAAACTTCCCCAATCTGGCAAAGGAAATAGATTTCTAGGAAGTTCAGGAAGCTCAGAGAGTCCCAAACAAGTTAGACCCAAGGAAGCACATACCAAGGCACATCATAATTACATTACCCAAGATTAAAGATAAGGAGATAATCTTAAAAGCAGCAAGAGAAAAGGAGACAGTTACTGGCAAAGGAGTTCTGATAAGACTATCAGCTGATTTCTCAAAAGAAACCTTTCAGGCAAGAAGGGGCTGGAAAGAAGTATTTCAAGTCATGAAATACAAGGACCTAATCCATGATTACTCTGTTCAGAAACCCTACCATTTTGATTGGAAGGGCAGATAAAATGCTTCCCAGATAAGGTCAAGTTCAAGGAGTTGATCATCACCCAGCCCTTATTTATATGAAATGTTTAGGGGACTTACCTAAGAAAAAGATGAAGATCAAAAATACAAACAGTAAAATAACAACAGACTCACAGCTATTAACAATGGAACCATAAAAAACAAAAAAATGAACTAAGCAAACTAGAAGAGGAACAGATTAACAGAAATGGAGATCATATGGAGGGTTACCAGTGGGGAGGGGGAAGAGGGAGGAAAAGGTACAGGGAATAAGAAGCATAAATATTAGGTAGAAAACAGACAGGGGGAGATTTAAGAATAGGATGGGAAATGGAGAAGCCAAAGAACTTATATGTATGACCTGTGGACGTGAACTAAGGTGGGGAAATGATGGTGGGAGGTGGGTACAAAGCAGAAGGGAATAAAGGAGAGAAAAATAGAACAACTATTATACCATAATCAGTGAAATATATTAAAAAATAAAATAAATGAAAACAGTGGCTTTATTATTCTTAAATTTTCATGTGGCAGAAGTAACAACATCATGAGCTAAGGTAAAAGAAAAGTATGTGCTATTGATATAAGATAATGAGCTAATTTCTTTCATGTAACAATACCTCATTAATTAATGAGATAAAGATAACATCTCAAAAGGAAAATTGAGAGAATTCACAGAAGAGGAAATATAAATGTCTTTTAAGCATAGAGAATAATTCTCAAATTCATTTCCTAATATGAGTAATATAAATTAAAACTAAAAATGGAATGCATTTTCACCTGGCAGGCCAGCCAGGATCCAGATGGCCGATGGTTATGATTAGAATGGCAATCTCCACATACCCCATTTGTAGAAGGGGATTTAGTGGCAGCTTTTACTAAATACAATTGCTGATAACCTTTTATTATTAAAATGCCCACACCCCTCTTTGTTCCACTGCTGGGAAGTTATTCTGCAGGTATTTAATCCCATGTATGGTGTGCATGCAGAGATAGGGCAGGTGGCATTTGAAGGAATGTCAGACAATTGGAAACCACATGGCCATTATTAAGGAGCCAGGTTAAATGAGTTGTGATACATCCAATACAATCAGATATTATGCAGCCACTTAAAAGAATAAGATCCCTCTATTTGTGTGGCTGATGAAGGCTTTTTAAAATCTACTAAGAAAAGAAAGAAGGTATAGAATCAAATTTGTTCTTTATAAAAAATGAGTGAAAAATACACATTCTTGCATATGCATAGAGTATCTCTCAAGGTAGCACCGAGTGGTAAGGTGGCTGCCATAGGAGTTGAGTGGGAGCTGCGTGGCCAGGGAATCTAGGAAGGCTCAGAGGGAGGCTTTGATGTGCCTTGGGAATTTTGTGTCGTGCGTGTATTATCTCCCCCCCAATTAAGAAATATTCAGCTTTACTCTTTATGTATGTTTGTATATTTATGTCCTCTGGGTTTCAAATTAGGATGTAAGGAAATTTGTAAATATACATAAAGTAAATAATGAGTTCCAGCTCCATCTCTTCAGTCAATAGTGGAACAAAGAAACCACTCTCAGTATTTGCCCCAGTGGGATTTTATTCTGAGGATTCAGTTACATAGTCACATAGGTGTTGTAAGAGCTCAGATGCTTCAGAATGGACAGCCAGGCAGTGTAGAGCTAAACAGCAACAGGTAGTTATTGGTTGTTACCTGCATGCTTGGGGAACAAGGGGATTTCGTGGTGTTAACTGGACACTGGGATACAGAAGCTAGAGCCCTGATGGGCCTGTCTGGTAGGAGCTAAAATCAGAGCAGGAGATGCTGCCTTGGGGAGAAAGAAGGGGGTAAATCACCCAGCTTTGCTTCTCCCCATTTCCTGGCTCCCACTGTTGCTTCCCATGTGCAGAGCTGAGCCCAAGAGCCTTAGAAACTAAACCTCCAAGATTCAGCTCCGATATACAGTATAGAGATAGGAAAAATCCAAATAATATTTCTGAGGACAAATTATATAGGGCTGGGTCAAAAAGCAAAAATGCAGCAAAGCAAAAGCCATGACTAGGAAATAAGATGGACTCAGGAATGAGACTGATTGCCAGTACTCAGCTGTGACTGCACAGCCTTGCTGTGTGATGCCTCAGGCTGTGTACACTGTAGCTGTGAGCCTTCCAGGGCTCTGTCATGCCTCATTCACGATGTCTTCTTACCCGAGCCCCAGTTCACACAATGCCAGCGTGCTGGGACAGAGGCAGTTTATAAATCTTGGTTGAAAGTGAATGAGTGAACTTCAAGCAGAGTGAGAAAAATGAGGTAGGACATAACATCGGGGAAACTTTGGGTATTCTTGCTCTCTGTGGTTTATGCCTTTGAGACAAACTGTTTTCCATGTGAAGTGCTGTTCATTAACTGCACTATGTAGGACTTTCCTCTTCTTTTCTTGCAACAGTTTCCATTAGACACAATAATTATTGTTTAACAGATTATTGATGGATAAAATAACTTTTATTCCAGCATAATTAGGAAAGCCTAGTCATTATAAACTCTCAAAATGATATTTACCTTTTACTTAAAACTTATTTGTGTTAATGATCATAGCTCACATTGTGGCGTAGCTCAGCTAATACAGACACGACAGTTTACAGAAAGATGAACAGCACTTTAGACCAGACTGAAAGTATTTTGTTTTCTCGATAATGATCTGTTGTGGTGTCTGGAGGAAAGTCGAGCAATTTCTCCTGATGAATAGCAGTGGAAATTAAAACAATTATTGTGCTTTTCTGTTTTTCCCTTCAGAAAACCTAACAGAAAATAAAGACATAGCATGTTATTTGTAATGTTTCATTAATCCATCAGAATAAATGTTCTTTTACTGCTTTGGTGTAATTTCATTTCACTTGATCACATTTAGGCTGCAGATCAAATTAAGAAGCTATATAATCTCTTCCTGAAAATTGATGCGACTCAGGTGGAAGTGAACCCCTTTGGTGAAACTCCAGAAGGACAAGGTAAATAAATAAATAAGTAAATGAGAGAAAACAAATGATTATAATTATTTATACAAAGTATAAATTAAATTGTACAAAATACTGTAGTAGCAGCTCTGCATTAATTTATTTTGGTAATTTAATTTTTGCCGTAGTTTCAAATGCTCCCGTGATGTAGTTGAACATTTTAGCACTTGAATTTGTTTGTAAACAAATGCCAAGCTTCAGAGGAGGCTACTTCTTGTTTATTTAGAGACATCCATCCTCCAGCACCCCATTATTTTTTGAGGCCAATCACTATGGTAAAGATTTGGGTGAAAACAGGAGCCACTGCACTTGGGTGTAATGAATGTGCCTGCTTTTATGACCCACTTGAAGCTTTTTAGTTTGTCCTCATCTGTGTAAGTTCACTTTGTGTCACCTGCTGGATGTATATCATCTTGGTGAAGCCCCTGATGCCCCACCATCCAACTGCTTCACATTACTTGATTATGACCTTCCACTTCAGAAGGAGGCATTTTTGTGAGGAAGGCTTTTCTTATCCATAAGGTACTTGAAGAGTATAAATAACTGTTATAGTTCAGCACCTACCACTAGCACTTTGTTCTGCATACAGAAAATTTTTGATAATTCAATATTGTTATTAACATATTAATTAAATAATATTATTTATTAATTCAATACCCAAAGCTTGTGTTTGTGCATATCATCGGGAGTATAAGATAGATAAGGTAGTGATACCAGAAAGTCAGTTCTATGAACCTTGTCTTTTTTAGTACATTTTACCCTCAATGTCTTGCATGCTACCTGGAATGTTGTGGGCAGTCAGTAAATAGGGATTTGCAATTTGATTGGTAAATAAAGTGATCTGTTATTTGCAAATACAACCAAGTTGTAGACCAACATGAATGGGGCTTTTGTGTTTGTGTGTGTGTGTTTTCATGCTTTAATTCAAAGCTGTCTGTTGCAGGTACAGCTCTGTCTGAACAAAAGAACAAAGGAAACAATAATGAATATCCCTGTCCACTTACCCCATTCCCAGATCCCCTGATGAAAGGGATGGCCAAATATAAGAAAGAGTGCACTGTGCCCCCAGGTCAGAGAAGGGATCATGAGATTACTGGGAAGAGGCCCCTCAGGAGACCTTTGCCCTAGCACCTTGTATTTGCCCACTTGTCCCCAAACCACTGTCAGATACCCATGTGTGAATGATGTTTGGGAAGAGTATTCAGGGTTTTAGAGAGGGGTCTGGGTTCAGATTCAGTATCTTTATTTCTGGCCACAGACCTAAGTTAAACCTCATGGTTGTTCCTTTTTTTTCCCCTTTTTTCTCTTTTCTTCAAAAGGGTGGTTGTCAAAGTGAGGTGACTGGTGTTTGTGTAAGCATCCACTGGCAAGTACAATGATAAAATGTAGTTCCTGACATTCATAAAATGTAATTCCTTTTCTGAGGTATAGCAGTCGTCCAGGAAGGGTATAGACTTTATCTTTTTGTCTATTTGTTTTGTTGTTGTTTTAAACATTTCAAATGAGGATAGGCAGAGAGCTCATGTTGAGGAAGTAATCAAAAATATATTTCATGGTTTACACAAGTGACCACCAGATAAAAATAATTTATAAACAAACTACCTTATTCATAAATATTTTTAAAACATTTAAAATTTGGCTGTGAGATATCTTTAGTATATCATAGACAAGAAGTCTTTTAAACTTTTGAACTCATTTTTGAACTCTGTGTCAAGCGCTGTGGTAAACTTTTACTTATATTCTTTTTTATTACTTACAGCAACTGTGCAGTTAGAAGTGCTGTTTTCATTTTATAGAAGACTGAAAAATTAACTCCCACATTAGCAATTAGCTGGGATTCGAACCCATGTTGTATATGTTGATTTTAATATGCCTGGCTAACTTATAGTGACCTGCCTTTTTTTCTTTTTTCCTATTAAACTCTTAATTTGCTTTCATCTGATTGATCTAGAAGTAGTTCCAGTTTGGACTATCAGTCAAAATTCATGCTGCACTGAGTGGCTGATAATTAAATCCAAGAAATGAAAGAGAAAGAAGTTCAATATACATTCTTAAAGGTCATATATTGCTTTTCAAACTAGTATGAACAAGCAACCTGGTTATTTCATATTTAAAAATGGAAATTCAGCCATGGAGTGGGATAAAAATTAGGCTGTAATACTATTTTCATTCACTTTTTTGGGAAGTTGTCAGCCACAGAATGTGGTCTGGCAGCAGGGAATGGATGTGAAAGCCTTTTCCTATGGGGTATTTGTAAAACCTTGTAAAATCTGTAGATTTCTTTTTAATTGTTAAGACAAAGAAAAATTCTTGAGCTTTTTTGAAGGATTCATCATAAAATACATTCCATGTATACAGTTCATTAAAACGTAAGTCTTATGTGATATTTTTAAGAGCAAAGTTATATAGCTCTTAATTTGTTCATTGTACCATAAAAGTTCAGCTATTGAATTTAATTACAATTAAATGAGTGTGTTGGTTTATGACGCTAATGATCAGAAGTCAAATTAAACCCAATTAGGAAATGGTGATTAATGACCAAATGTACAAATTGATCCTCATCATTTTCACAATCCCCTAAAGCAGTCCTCTATTTAGGAGCTGTGAAAGCATTCATTTATATCTTAGCAATATTGATAATCTTAATATTTAATTTTTTCATTTAGATCAGTAATAGGAGAACATACAAGCCTTCACATTGAAACTTTGGTTTAATAATTTACTCTTTTAATTTAGAAGTTTAAGGAGCTAGGCATCACACCAAACATTTTTACTTTAATCTTATCCATTATAGAGCATCTTTGTAAGAGAATTTTTTCAGTCTTCCATTGCTTGCCCATTTTGATGAACATTTTTTTTCTAATCCAAGTGCTTGGTCATATATTTGAAGATGATGCTGGATTGAATGGGAGCAATAGCCTTGATATATCTGTGCTGCTGGGTCACCCATGGGACATTGTTGACATTGAGAAAGAACTGTCTAGGACTGATTTTTTCCAACATGATTTATAACCTGATTCAAAGAATATGATTTGGCGCTATTGTTGTAAGTAGTTTAGTGATTATCAGTTAGGTCTATAATGGTTATTAGTGATAGAAACCTCCATCAGCCTAGTTTTTGTGAAAAAGTTCACAGTGAGGGAGGTGTACTTATTTTACTCATATAACAGGGTAAGCCTTAAAGAGTGGACTGGCTTAATTCATGAAGGGATTTGGGGATTCTCTGGTCCTTTCAGCCCTGCTCACCTCTGAATCTGTGCTTTGTCAGCAGAGTGCTCCAGTCCTCATGAAGCTCCTCCAGGAACCATAGCAACCTTTCAGGGTATTCTTACCAGTCCTGCTTGGGTCACATGCTCATGCCTAGACCAGCCACAGTTGGACTCACATTGTGTAGGAGAAAGGCAGTTTCTTGATGGAAAAGGGACACTGAGTTAGAACATTTCTACAGGGATGACCTAACATTGGAATGAAAATAAACTGTATTAATCAAAGAGAACTAAACTATTTTCTTTGCTTATCTTATTGCAGTGGTAGGATTAATTCATTAAATTGTGGCTAATTTAGGAACAATTTTTTTATTATTTATCAACTTATTCATTCACTTATTTTCTTATTTTGTAAGCCACTGGGATTTTATCTTATTTCATTTCTTCCCACTTTCATCCAGATCTTCTTGCCCATAGGCTCCTGTCTTTAAAATAATGTTTCTCAATGGAAAAGGTGGACATTTGGTTTCAACAATGTCTAAAAAGATTTTTTTCATTGAGATATAATTGACCTATAACATTATGTTAGTTTCAGGTATACAACACAACCACAGTAAGTCTAGTGAACATCCATTTTTGTTTTATCACAGCTTGAGGTGCAGGTTGATACTTGTTTCTAGGGGGTAGAGGCCAGGGATGTTATCGAACATCCAGTAGTGCATAGCATAGCACCTCCCATCAGAGAGTGGTCTCATGCAACATGTCAGTAGTCTCCAGATTAAGAATACCTCCTCTCAGGCATCTTTGTCAGTTGGAATACAAATCCATTCACCAAGCTAAAGGAATGAAGCCCCATTTAGAATGGTGACTATCTGGCCACAATTCCATGAAAACTAACTTAAGGCTGGGTTGACGTTCGCTGGAACATCACATCCCTTTCCTGCTTCAGATTGATTTCCCTAAACAGCAACCCTATTGCTTGTGTTAGCAAGTGCCCGTGTTGTCAGTGGCCATTCCTGTTTCTGTCTTTACACACAGGACTTCTATTTCCAAGAACATTTTCTGTTCGCTACCTATCCTCAAACCCCCATCACTCCTCATGTCTATTTTCTCTTTCCACAGCAACTAAAAAAAGTTCTAAAAAGTTTAAAACTCCTGGAACATCAATATTTAATGGAAAGTGGGACCATTTTGAAAGTATCAGCATTTTAAGGCCACTTTGGCAAGGTGCATTTCAATAGCACATTATAGTTATTTGTCACAAATCAAATGCAGTACATTGCTTGAAGACAGATTATTTTTCAAACTAATTATGACAGTCTTATTTCCTGCTGTTTTTATGTTTCTTTTGTGTGTGATTTCCCTTCTGAAATGTAGTTTTCTTTTGTTTAATTCCATGGCACATTCTTCGGTAAAACTCTGGGGTCAGAGGCTGCTAACTGCCAGTCATGTTCTTCATGGAGGTTGTTGAATTAGCAGCTCACAGAATCTCACACCACAGAACAAAACAACAAAAACACCCCGTGAATATAAGTGCTGCAGCTTTCTTTGATATTCGCTCAGAAAGAAAATTCATTTGTATAACCTATCAAGCATGTAACAATGTGCTTTTGATGGTGAAAATTGTTTTATAAATATTAATAGGTGTGTTTTTCACCCACTTTGTACACAGAATGGCCTTTGTTCAAGTTGAATTTTCTAAAGAATTAAAGTTTTATTATTGTGACATTGAAAATCTTCATGTCTGAACCAAGCTCAGCATCTCTAAAAATATATTATATCATAGTTTGTTGTTTTATTAAACAAAAAAGCTAAGGTTTGAGCAAGCAAGTTTGTTTTCTTGCTGTGCTGATGAAAGAAGCATCAGTCCATTTTTAACACACCAGTTCTCAGCACATACTTGGAGGGGTCTCACAGGGGCAAATAAGCATGTAAGAACCAGTCAGTATTCAGGGATTAATCTACTTTTGTGCTAATTGCGAGCTTTTGTTTATTTTTTGTTATGCTTTTTTGTTTGTTTTCAAGCTAGTAGGATGCACTTTCCCAAGTTTCTCACTCACCATAAGAAATATGGCACCTAAGGCTACTTTCTCAGTTAAAGCGTGTACTAATGGTACTAATGTGACCAGAACTGTGCCTTAGCAGGAATGAGCAGCCTTTTTCTGTAATGGGCTGGATGACCTCTGTTGCAGTTACTCATCTGTGCTGTGGGACAGGAACCACAGAGATACATGAATGAACTGATGTGGTTTCCTTCTAGTAAAACCCAGTTCACAGAATCAGGCAGTGAGCTGACCTGAGGCAACATGCTTGGCCACCCCTGACTTTGACTGTCTCTTGGGTCTGTTCCATGTGAATCTGTAGCCACCCTGGCCTTATGGAGTGGTGAGTGTGATTTGAGAGTCAGTAGAGCCATCTCCATCCTTTAGGAGAAAATTTTCTTCTGTGTCAATTACAAAGCCTGAAATGCCAGCTGTTAAAATTCTTTCTGTGAGAAAATTCTTAGGAGTTAAGAAAGGTAATCCAAAACTGAGTTGCTACCCTCAAAGCCTAAATCTTTTTGGGGGGTTGTGGAGTGAGGGGAATAAGAAAGTGCATGAACTCTCAGACACATATTTGGATTCTGAAGGTGTCATTTTATTGAAAAACCATTGTAACCTGTACAAATATAAATTCCCCCAGGCATTAGTTTAGATTTATTCTAAGCAGAAGTTTAGGATTATAAGGGAATGGACAAAGTGCAGGTCATCGAAAGTGAGAGGAAGAGAGGAGAGTCCTATATAGCCTGGGTTGCAGCAGCAGGAAGCTCTGAGCGCATGAAAGCACTGTGTGTGTAGAGATTGGCGGTGGTAGTGATAATGGCCTGTGAGCGCCAGTTGTCTGTGAGGCTGAGTGCTTTGCATATCTTCTCTTTCCAGCAACACCATGCAGTACAAAATACTCTGCTCCTTATTTTATATATAAGGCTGCTGGGCTTAAAAGAGGTGATTGGTTATCTGACTAGGAGGTGCCAAATTTGTGACTCATACAGACAGGTGTTTTTGATGTTAGAGTATATTAAATGGTCAAGTTCAAAGAAAAACTTTCAGGAGATAACATCATAAACTGAAGTAGTAAAACAAGGAAGCACTCTGTATGTTTGGGACTACTTCTAAAATATTAAGTGAGTATAATAAATACATGTCTGGTGGTGTCCATATACCTTCTTATTCCCATACAGTTCTTATTCCCTTCACTCCAACCCCTCAAAAGATTTGGGCTTTGAGGATGGCAACTCAGTTTTAGATTACTTTTCTTAACTCCTAAGTCCCCTGCCTGTTTATGTAGGTATTTAACTTTCCAAAGTACTTGGACACATACATTGACCTAGGTATGTCACTTGGTTTTCTCTGTAGGAGGAACAATGAGCAAGGAGTCATTGTGGATAACACCTTTTATCCCACAAGTATGATACCTGTAGATATACATCTTTGCTCCTCCTGATAGGTATCCTTTTCATCTCACAGTCACCACCTTGGAACTCTGGTTAAACTCTAAAGTTCTTGCAGGGTGGTCCCCAAGTAGTCAGCTCATTTCTGTGTTTGGCATATACATATTACCACAGGAAGAAAGCATCTTGAAAATCTGGGTTTGCAGACATTTAGCTGGGCCTGCCATCTGAATTTTGCATGCATACCCATTAATTATGCTCTCTCTCAAGTTGCTTGTAAGTATAGTCTTTGTCAGGGGCAAAGATCAGCCTGGACCTCTTTTTGATTTACTAGTTTATTGATCTTGACCAAGAATTCTTTTATTTGAAACTCTTCACTTAGGAAGTCAATTTGGTAGTTTTTGCCCATTCATTTCGAAGGTGTCAGTTACAAATAGTCTTGCCAATGAGTAATGGAGGAGCTACAGTTACTAATAAATTAATTAAAATGTATTTATAAACCCAGTGGACAGCCAAGAATGAAGTTGCTTTCCTATTGATTATTACACAGGTCATTAACTGCTGAGAAAATGCCATTGTAGCAAGCGGAGAACATTGACCAATTCCTATGGTAATTGTAAGATTCCATTATTAAGATTTCAGTGTCCTGGAAAGTAATTACTCATTTGCTCCATGTATTCACAGTATGTGGGTAAAGTGATTGCACATTTTGTGGCAAGACTAAGGACGCAGGCAGACATTAACTTCCATGCAAGATTCTCTCTTGTCAGTCAGTGGTACTTTAAGTAATTTGTGGTTTGGACTTTTATTTATGCTGAGCATTCTTAGATGTCTATATACTAGATCTGCACAGATTAGTATCAAAGTACTTGACTATGGTAGAGAGACCCTTGGGGGAAACCACTCCCTAGGGTCCTTAACCCCAGGATGTCATAATGTAATGATAGTTTCTTTCCATAGCAAACAAATGGGATCCACAAACTACAGTCATTGCTTTTGATTGAAATATGCCAGGGTCGTTGTTCCCCTTTTAAGAGTTAGGTGCCTATCTGTGATGCTGTAGGAGAAGAGTAACATCTGTGAATTCTTGGCCAACAATCCTGCCTATCAATATCCCAAGAAAAGTAAAGGAAGTTATGGTGGAATGGCAACATAGATAACTTCTACCCTAAGTAGATACAGTAAAAGGGATCAGATCCCAGAAACTGTTGCACCACCCCACCTCACTGCACTGTCTCCCTGACTGTATATATGGAAGATCAGCTCTCCTATAAATTAGGGAAGGCATTCTGCAGTCCATCCTTATCACTGAGTGAATTTCACTGTTTCCAGGGCCCTTGGCCACTGAAAGTGTCAAGAGACTCCCAGCACCAGGGAGTGGGGATGACGTTACTGATGATGCCTGGAAACCTTGCATTGTATCTGACCACTCTTAGTCTCTTAGTGTTTTATAACTTGAATCAAAAGAGTCATGTCCTGCACACATCAAGATGATGGTGCTTATTTTAGTAGACCCTAAAATAAGTATATCAGCATTCTAGGGATTATTTCCATTTTCCTAGTAATAAAACTGAGGCCCAGAGAGCAAGTCAGTTATTATTATTATTTTAATCAAAGCTACCATTTGCCTTTCTATAACATCAGAAATGCTGATAAGGATACAGATTAAATAAAACCTTCACTCTTCATCATCAGATGAAAGACAAAAACAAAATTAATTGTTCATGTCTAGCATCTTGTGCATCAAAGGGAAAGGTGATGATCATGGTTAATTACTAAAGATAAGAAATATAGTAGGAATAGGTAATCAAAGCTTTATGTACCTGGCAGTCTTCGCTTTTAATGAGTAATAGCAACTTACATTATTTTCTGGAATAGAGACCAACAGATGTAAGTTACTGTGTGCCTTGTTAGAATGTAAGTCTCTTGAGAACAGGGACCATTTTATATTTGTCTTTGTAGCTCTGAAATTTAAGGTCAAGAAAGCCACACCGCTTTTCCTGTCCTTATTATGAGATAGAGTGAAAATATCTTTTATTTTTCTCCTATGCCTGCAAGCTTATCAAACTTAGTTATAGATCATAAGAGATTTTCATGTATCTTCCTTTTTTAAAAAATTTAGTTGTCTGTTTTGATGCCAAGATAAACTTTGATGACAACGCAGAATTCCGACAGAAGGACATATTTGCTATGGACGACGGATCAGAAAATGAGCCCATTGAAAATGAAGCTGCCAGATATGATTTAAAGTACATAGGACTGGATGGGAATATTGCTTGCTTTGGTAAGAAATCAGTTATATCAAAGGAATGATTTGTGGATTTTTGCAGAGTTCAGGAAGTACTGATTTCTGACATGTTATTTTCTAATAGCAAGTAAACATAAGATATTTTTGTACCCAAAAGTCTTAGGATACAATTCAAAGTTTCTTCTCAAAGTTTATTTTGGTCACTGGTCACTGATTTAAACAAGGTTTCTCAACTCTGGCACTACTGACATTTTAAGTAGGGAATTCTTTGCTGTGGAGGTTGTCATGTGCATTGTATTCAGCAGTTTCCCTTGGCCTTTAAGTGCCACTAGCACACTCTACTCGTGACAACCAAAGTGTCTCCAAACATTGCAGAGTATTTTCTGATAGGCAATATTGCCCAAGTTGAGAACTACTATTCTAAAGTATCTTGGTTAAAATTAGCTTAATAAAAACTGGAACCTTTGCTGCTCCAGGCAGTGTCAATATGGTAGGAACTATTCTGAAATTTGGGTTCAGATAAAATTACTTTCTCAGAGGAAATATAAGAGAACATATACTTTAATTATTATTCTCAAAATTCAGCTTCTTTGATAACCAAAGAATACAATGTTTAGTATACCAGTTTATTAGTAAAACAGTTGATTTTGTCATACTCACCTAAATTTGTGAAAATGGCTTATTCAGTTGAGATAAGAATGGTTCTATAGAGGTAACAGAACTTTTGTTATTGCCTACTACATATAGTACTCAGATTTATATGCTCCTGTGTTATGTTGGAACCAATTTATTGGACTGGGAACTAATATCTTAATTTTAATGGAAATAAAATAAAAATGATTTGTAGCTCATTAAACCAATAGTATTATTATATTCAGAACAGAACAGACCTCATCCAACAGTTTGCCCTTCAATAAAATAGAAAACGACATCCAATTACAAGTAATACCAAAAGCTCTTGCTTTGTATTGGAGCAATAGCTAGGATATACCCATTACTCACATCATTCTGATCTTGATAAGCTAATGTGCTCTCAGTATTTGTAGACATTTAGAAAGGAAAAAGTTATAATGATGTATTTAGAACATATTAAATACAGATTCTTTCTACCCTCTGTATGAGTATGAATGATTTGACCAACTTAGCCAACACATTTTAAGTTGCTTTAAGATCCTATATAAACCATTTTTTTGTTTTCATTGATCCAAAAATTATTAAATTAGCCACAGTTCAATTATCTGGGGAATTCAAGGGTCAGAAAAAAAGTGAAAGGTACTTCACCTTGAGAGTTTCTTCTGAGTTCAGATTTGCTTTCTTTTATTTTCTTTTCTTTTACTTTTCTTTCTTTGCCTTTCTCCTTCCCTTTCTCTTTCCCTTCCTTTCATTTTCTAACCTGAGGAAAGTAATTTCATATAATTAAGCATAAGAAACAAAAGAAGTGCAATTGATCAATAAAACTTGATTATGGAAATTAAGAATTTGATGTTAAAACTCTTTACTTGACTTTTAAAGAAAAGCTCCTGAAATGTTAGCACATGTTGATTCTAGTTGTACTGATCAGGTTGCTACTGAACATTTTTAATATTATGTTGAAGAAGGAACAGGGGGATAGGAATGTTGTTTGAGTTGTCATTTGTTTGTTTTTTGACTTCATCCTGATGATATGTAAACATGGGTGGTTGCCATAGGTGTGAAAGTGGGTGGAATCCTGTTGAAGTTGAGATGCCCATGGTTCAGCCCCAGAGGTTTGCCACATTCAAAGGGATGTGTTCTCAGCAAACAAAAAATTAAAAGGATTCTATTTTTTACTTAAGTCTCCTAAAGGATATTAAAAGAATCTAACTCATAGACCCTAGTTACTTTTCACAGCTTTTTTCTCTCTTTTCTGATTCTCTTGAACCCCATACTTTCCAGAACCTAAAACTCGCTCCTTTATTACCATTAAATACAATAGACAATATTATTACTAACTAGCCCAAATTGATAACTCATTTAAACTCTTCCCTTCTTTCCATTTCTCAGATTTATTTAACTTTTCAATAAATTTATCTCCCCATTCCTAGGTCTTTTTTGGTTATTCTTTGTAAGCACATTTTCTGACTCCTTATCCTGAAAGTCTGTGAACTTATCTGGTTGAATAGAATTCCAAACAGGGCAGAAATTGGCTCCTTTATGACAGGGTTCTCTTTTACAGTATAGTGGGAAAAAAGTTTATGCACCATTTTATGTTGCTAAATTTGTTCTGTCATGAATACCATTTGCATTTTTACAGTGAACGGTGCTGGACTGGCCATGGCTACTTGTGATATCATTTTCCTGAATGGTGGGAAGCCAGCTAACTTCTTGGATCTTGGTGGTGGCGTAAAGGAAGCTCAAGTATATGAAGCCTTCAAATTGCTTACAGCTGATCCTAAGGTAATCTCTCTTTGTTGGGAGATTCCATAATGTTCTGATTTCTCACCATCTAGAGCGACCTTGTTCCTGCTGCTAGGCGTTAATAAGTAAACACATGTACGGTGCAGCCCCAGATGCAAATTTTGCCTTACATTCTATTGGAATACCTGATGATTTAACTCATTTTGGGTGGAAGGTTTATAAGTGCTCTCAGGATCTTATTTCTCAGTGTGTGCTTTAAAAGTTCTTGGAGGTGGCAAGACATAAAAGGTGTAAGTGCACAGAACAATGAAGTGTGGGTTGGCATGAAACATTATCTGGAGAATTTTCACTGAAGCGATTAGTCCTATACTTACATGACTTAGGCTAGGTCTTGGGTGTTTCGAGAAAGTTGCTGAAGATAGTATATGAACACAGAAAAAAATTATAGGATTATATTGTTATATATCTCTGAAAAATAATGACCTCGCCTCCTCTGTATCCTTTTTGATTGTGGTCTCTGATGGTTACATGTTACAGTTTGTAATATATGATCTAAGTAGCAAATAATGTTGCTTTATTTGCATCTTCTCTTAACTAAAATGTAGCTATCATATCCATGCTGGGTGCATAGTCGATATTCAGTAAACACTTAATAAATCTAAAAACTGATATGTCTTGTTTCCATTGTAGGTACTAACTTGTCTATGATGACAAAGTTAAACTGAATATTTACTATGTGGAGAAGACTAAATTTTTTAATGTATCATCTAATGCTTTTGAGAGTTCTGTGGGATAGTGTATATGCCACAACCATTTTATTTAAACTTTATTTGAGAGTCATTGTTACTGTTAGAGTATCTAATATATTCCATTCATTCTTTTTTTTGAAAAAAATTAAAGATTTTATTTATTTATCTTTAGAGGGAAAGGGAAGGAGAGAGGGAGAGAAATATCAATGTATGGTGCATCTCATGTGTCCCCTGCTGGGAACTGGCCTGCAACCCAGGCATGTGCCCTGACTGGGAATCAAACCACAATCCTCTGGTTCGCAGGCCCATGCTCAATCCACTGAGCTACAGTAGCTAGGGTATATTCTGTTCATTCTTGATATATATGAAGACACAGGAAATCTGAACTAATCACTAAGAATATCATGAATGAAAACAATACACAAATTTTTTTAAAGAAATGTGATCTGAATTTACTCTGGAAGCTTCCTCTTAATAAGTATAATGGCAATAGCATTTTTGGGTTTACATGTATAAAATTTTGTCTTATAGTAGTAGTATAGTATGCCTGTCTTCCATTATGACTTAGGTAGTGGTAAATGTGTGTTTTTGCCAAGACTTTTCCTTCTGAATCACAGAATAAATGGTGAGATATTATCAGCTGCTTATCTTTAATTCTCCAGTTCTTTTGAGGAATAGCCAAGTCACGGAAGTCCAAAGTCATGCAGCCACGAGAAAAGTGTTTGGGGCTGATTTTTCTGTTTACATGAGCACCTTGTTTTCATTAAGTAGGAACATTATCAGTGGTTCCCTAATTATTTATTAATTCACTTATCTCCTCTTCTTACTCCTTTCTAAAGGAAGAATCATTTTCCTCCCAGTGATTTGCACACTTGTTGTAATCTGTGAATTCCATGAACATAACACACAGCTCTTTAAACTACTTGAACCACAAAGTTCCCAGAGGACAGGCAACTGTAAGAAAATGCTGAATTTTTAATGTCTACTGAAATTTTGTGTTAAGAATAATCAAGAACCATCGAGGGATTAAATCTGCCAGGACAAGCATTGCATTTTAAAAAATATCTCATCATAGCGGCTGATCCTGAATTTTAATTTTGTAAAAAATATAGGAGGAGAATGAAAAATTACTTGCAAAGCCACTTTTTAAAAATGATCTCTTCAAAAATTTTGACTTCACCTTCTGGAATATGTTCAAATGCTTGCAGTATTTAAACTTTTTTCGAGATTGGCTGTCATCTTAGGTGGAAAAAGGTATGTGGGAGTTGTTTTTCTTATGCTATATCAGGAAAATGAATGCAGACCTCATACTACATTTTCCAAATCTTGAAATTTCAAAGCTAGTTAAAAAGCATAGAAATGTAAGGGGCATTTTCAATTCTGGCATTGTTTCACAGATTTCAGAGAATAGAAGCTAAAAAATAGCATAGATGAATTGATTTGCTTTTGCAAGGAAACTGGTTGTAGTTCTGGCAGTAATTATTTAAAGTAGAGCCTTCTCTCTGCCCAGAAGTAGATTCCCAAGAGCCCAAACCTAATTATTTCAAAGGTATTGATTTTCTTGTTAGACACAAGGATTAGTCTGGTTGAATGCACTGAAACTCAAAATTACAACAGCCTGTTGTTAAACTTAAATCAACTGATACTAACAACTATTTGTTTGCCATAGGTATAAGCTAATTCTATTGATCCAGGAATAAATGTCATCATTCAAGAAAAATATTATGAATTGGTATATTTCCACTGATAATGCCAGCCATAGAGCTGGAACTTCTATTTAGTTTGCTTGACTGTTAGCCCAAACGCTGATTTTCACTGGGACCTAACACAGGTGCTTTGATAATTACAGTTGCTTATTTGTTTGTAATACATGTGAAATGGAATTTCTCTGCCAAACTGCTTATAACTAAAGTCTTTTCAGGATAGGTTACTTACTAAATTAGACTCACATGATGTGTATTATATATGTTATAATTCTCTTATTTCCCAGCTGGGCTTGAGATGAGAGCAAGGTAATAGAGTTTGTTCTGCTGGTGGTAGAAGAGATCTTATCTTAACTTCATCATTTTTAACATACAGAATTTTAAACACTAGCATTCTTAAAATCATATGGTAAAAGTAATATAAACTAGGAAGTATAAGTAGAGTTTTGTGGTAATCTGTAAAGAATTTCAGCACATTTAAAGGCAAAACTAATAAGGAATGTTATCCTTAGGTTTTTTGTTTTCTTAAATTAGGCTTATTTGGCTTTTATTTCAAATTTTAAACTTAGAATTCCAAAGCTGTAGAAAATGAGTTGCAACAACATCTGGAGTATGTGAAACATTTTGCATAAATGAATAAAATGAAAGGACGGTTGACATGAATCTCAATAGTAACCCCAACTCTGTCAGCCAAGTTTAAGCAAATTTGTTGTCCTCTGTAGGCCTAATTTTGCAGAGAAATGGTGTATGATTGGCATTAGTAAAGCCACCTCATTTGGTTTGACTGTGCTTCCTGGTTTAGATACAACTTAGAGTCACGTTTCAAAGCCCTGTGAATGTCCAAGAAGAAATGTGCTGCAGGAGCACCAAATGACAGTTTAAGAAGGAAGGGATTCTTTGCGGGCTCTGGTGCCAGATTGCCTGGGTTCTAATCTGCTTGACCACTTCCTGGTTCTGAGACTTTGGCCATATGGCTTAATTTCTATGTACCTTGATTTCCTCATTTATATAGCGGAGATAATCATAGTACTTATTACCTCAGAGAGTTGTTTTATTACATGAATTAAGATAAACACACATATTTCCCATCTAGAGGAGTGATAATTTCATATGGTAGTATCATTTAAAAATCTTAATAAACTGCTATTAATATAGAGTTATACCTCAGTACTCAGCTTCAGAACTCTTCAAATCCTGTACTTGTTGCATTTTGATGAGAAAAAAATGTTTCAGCACTTGACGCTTACAGCTCAGGACTTGTAGCACTTGCTAGAACTTGTATGGGTCATACTGCCACCCTGCGAGAGAAAATGCTTCATCATTCACTGCTTAAAAATTTTTTCTGCACTCATCATATGTTCTGCAAAGAAGTAATGGCAACTTCAGAGGTACCACTGTATAACCTACATACCAAACAGCATACAGATCATTTTGCTTTGTAGCTTAATGAATAATCACAAAATGGACACAACTATGTATTCTCCAGTTAGATCAAGAAATAGGATATGTTCCATGTATGGACTGAATGTTTGTGTTTCCCCAAAATTCACATGTTGAAGCCCCCCCAATATGATGGTATTAGGAGGTGGGGCATTTGGAGGTAATTAGATCATGAGGGTAGAGTTCCCATGAATGGGATTAGTGTCCTTATAAAAGATGCCCCAGAGAGCTTTCTCTCCACTTTCATAATGTGAGGACACAGCTAGAAGTAGGTCATCTATGTACCAGGAAGGGAGCTCTCACCGAACACTGAATCTTTTGGTGACTTGATCTTGAATTTTCCAGCCTCCAGAACTGTGAGAAATAATTTGTTGTTTAAGCCACCTCATCTGGGTAGTGTTATATAGAAGCCTGAATAGTCTCAGACAACCTCCATTCCAGAAGCCCCTGGAAGCTCCACAACTCCCATACTTCTCCCACCCAGCTTTTTCCCCAAAGTAACCACTATCCAACTTCTAATAGTATAAATTAATCTTATCTGGTTTTAAGCTTAATATAAATAGAATCACATAATATATTTAAATTATTTTGTGTTTGCCATCTTTCACTGAACTTTTATTTGTAAGACTCATCCACATTTTTTGTCACAGTGGTTCACTCCTTCTTATTTCCATGTAGTATTCTGTTGTATGGCTCTTCCAGAACTTTCTTATCCTCTTCTGTTGATAGGCATTTGTGTCATTCTCAGTTTTGACTATTAATGAATGTCACTGTGAACATAATCATGTCCTTTGGTCCATATTTTTGGAGGGATATATACTTGGCATTAAAATTTCTGGGTCATAGGATTGATATGGGAAACTTTGGAAAACCTCTGTTTAACCTTTATTTGCCCAGGCCCCAGGTGCAATAGGAGAGCGATGGGGCTGTCTGGAGAGCGGATAGCCAGTAGGACTGGAACTAGCACCCCCACTGATAGAACGATTATCACATTCTGCTTCTTTACCCCATGTTTGTCACGTACACAGGAAGACCCCTAATCTATATATTCCCCAAGAATCCTTTGTTCAGGGCTCAGAATTTGGAGACTGACTCCTCTGGGCCCATGCATGTTAAATAATAAACCTCATACTCCAGAATCCCTTGG